AGGCGGGGGGACGGGGGGCTCCCCGGGGGCAGAGCGAAGCTGCGCCGGCAGCGGGGCAGGCGGTGGAGGTGGCTTAAATTGGGAACATGAGGCTTTGTTGCAGCCGCAGAGAGAGACCGGTTGGTGGTCGGGGGAAATGGAGCCTGAGAAAAGTTTATGTAAAAATCAGGGGCTCGTCGCCTTGTGTTTTAGGCTGGGGCTGGGCCGGGCTCGGAGGAGTTAGTTGAGCATAAAGACCTTGAGCATCTTGGAGGCATGGGTGCTTCTGAGAATGGGGGCGCGTGTTGGGAGCGGGAGGCGGCGCGTTCTTGGTGTCCAGCGTCTCTCTGGAGCAGGAGGTTTTGTTAAAATCCCAGAAAACAGGTGGCCCCGACGTGCTGGAAAAGTTGTTTGGTGTGCGATTGCTTGGTTTAGTTTGTCCAAGGTAGCTCTGCTCTGTCTTTTCCTAGGATGAAGAAGGTGGTCTTTGCCACAGGAGCCAGCCCCTTACGGTGGTGATATCCTCATTAGCCGAGCCTTTCTTTGAGAGCTGCTCCGCCGTCCATGTGCTCTTCTCCGCCTGGTGACTCTGTAGTTGGCAGGCACGAGGAGTGCGCGTGTGGCAGCCTACACGCACAGTTGGGGATTTTTTTATTGGTTTGTTTTAGTAAGAGCTGAAGTAGGAACATTAAATGTTTTATAAGGACAACGTATCTGGAGAACCGGTTCCTTTTTTGAATCTCCAAATGTATATGTGGTCAGCGCCTTCCCTCGTTTCCATCAATTTTATTTTTGCTTCACTCTGTGGTTCAGTTTGATATCGGACTAGTGGCGTTTTTGCTTCACTCAACATCTCTGCATTTATTGGAATTAGGATATTTGAACTCGCTCTCTTCTGTTTCTTGTTAACAATTCTGTTTATGAAAGCTGCCAACGTTTTATGTATTTTTCCTAAAATGACTGTTTTGCTGCTGGAGGTAGTGCTGTGTTTCTGTATGGTAATATCAAATTATAAAATATTTTCCAAAGCCTCATATTGAGCAAAGGAAATAGTTATTAAAACAGAGGCTGGGCCATTGTTAGTTTATCCCGAAGCTGATTGTTTTGTGATGTCTTGAGATCTCCAATGGTGATTTTCTGGGCTTTTTAAGCTTGTTTGTTTTTGTACCAAGCAGGCAACATTACCTTTCATATCAATGAATGTGGTAATGGTGCAGATCTCTTCTCTGATTTTCTTGAGCTGTCTCAAATCTGATGCTTTTATTTCACCTAGATGTTTGTCTCTGCTTTTAAGCAGCCTTTCATTCTATTACAGTTTTGAGACAGAACTAAAGGATTTCGTATAATGGAGACATTGCTTAAAATCATCTTGACGTAGCATTTAAAAAGACCCACAAAATCACAGGTGATCACTTAACACTGTAGCTTTTTGAAATGTTTGCATTGCTTCATTGCACATTGTGTTTTGCTTTCTTTATTCATTGTTTATTGCTTCACACTACAGTGAGCAGGTGTTAAACCTGCTAAAGAAAAATGCTTTTTATTAATACTATATGTTGGCATATTTGTGAATTATGTGTACAAATACATTTTTATTTCTCTTTCTCAAACCTCCTTTGAAATTCAAGAGAGAGTTTTTTTTTTTTTTGGTTGATATTTTTTTTAATGCTGTAGTAGCAGAAGCCCATAGTGTTGTTGAGAGCTTTGTCCTTATTTCACAGATGCACTGGGAATTGTTTTTAATCTCCTTTCTGCTTTCCCATTACAGATGGTGATGACGACCCACAACTCTCCTGGGTGGCTTCATCTCCCTCCAGCAAAGATGTTGCATCACCCACTCAGATGATAGGAGATGGGTGTGATCTCGGCATCGGGGAGGAGGAAGGGGGGACCGGCCTGCCGTATCCCTGTCAGTTTTGTGATAAGTCCTTCATTCGCCTGAGCTACCTTAAAAGGCACGAGCAGATCCACAGTGACAAACTACCTTTCAAATGCACCTACTGTAGCCGGCTTTTTAAGCACAAGAGAAGTAGGGATCGCCACATAAAGCTTCACACGGGGGATAAAAAGTACCATTGCCATGAATGCGAGGCTGCCTTCTCTCGCAGCGACCACCTCAAAATTCACCTGAAAACCCACAGCTCCAGCAAACCCTTCAAGTGTACTGTGTGTAAGCGTGGGTTTTCATCTACCAGCTCATTGCAGAGTCACATGCAAGCTCATAAAAAGAACAAGGAACATATGGCAAAGACTGAGAAAGAGGTGAAGAAGGATGATTTTATGTGTGATTACTGTGAAGAGACATTCAGTCAGACTGAAGATTTGGAGAAGCACGTAATGACACGCCACCCACAGCTTTCCGAGAAGGCAGATTTGCAGTGTATTCATTGCCCTGAAGTATTTGCAGACGAAAACTCGCTGCTCACACACATTCATCAAGCCCATGCCAACAAAAAACACAAGTGCCCTATGTGCCCGGAGCAGTTTTCTTCAGTGGAGGAAGTCTATTGCCACTTGGACAGCCACAGGCAACCTGACTCCAGCAATCACAGCATCAGCCCTGACCCGGTCCTGGGGAGCGTGGCGTCCATGAGCAGCGCAACGCCCGACTCCAGCGCGTCGGTGGAAAGAGGTTCCACCCCAGATTCCACCTTAAAGCCTTTGAGAGGACAAAAGAAAATGAGGTCCGTGGACAGAGAGGAAGGCCAGAACTGGTCTAAAGTTACTTACAGCTGCCCGTACTGCTCGAAGCGTGACTTCAACAGCCTTGCTGTTCTGGAGATCCACCTGAAGACCATTCACGCAGACAAACCTCAGCAAAGCCACACGTGCCAGATCTGCCTTGATTCCATGCCTACGCTGTACAACTTGAATGAACACGTGAGAAAGGTGCACAAAAACCATGCCTATCCCATGATGCAGTTTAGCAACATTTCCGCCTTTCACTGTAACTACTGCCCGGAGATGTTTGCAGATATTAATAGCTTACAAGAACACATCCGTATTACTCACTGCGGCCCAAATGCTACCCCTCAAGATGGCAACAACGCTTTCTTCTGTAACCAGTGCTCCATGGGCTTTCTGACCGAAGCAACCTTGACTGAGCATATTCAGCAGACTCACTGCAATGTAGGAAATTCAAAATTGGATTCCCCTGTCATTCAGCCAACACAGTCTTTTATGGAAGTTTATTCATGCCCTTATTGCACAAACTCCCCCATTTTTGGCTCCATCCTGAAGCTTACAAAGCATATTAAAGAAAACCACAAGAACATTCCTCTGGCACACAATAAGAAGTCAAAAGCAGAGCAGAGTCCGGTTTCTTCTGATGTTGAAGTCTCTTCCCCTAAAAGGCAACGGCTTTCTGCGAGCGTAAACTCAGTGTCTAATGGTGAATACCCATGTAATCAGTGTGATCTAAAGTTCTCAAATTTTGAAAGTTTTCAAACCCATTTAAAGTTGCATTTGGAGTTGCTGTTGAGGAAACAGTCTTGCCCTCAGTGTAAAGAAGACTTTGATTCCCAGGAGTCTCTTCTGCAACATCTCACTGTACATTACATGACAACTTCAACTCATTATGTATGTGAGAGCTGCGACAAACAGTTTTCTTCGGTGGATGATTTGCAGAAGCATTTGTTGGACATGCATACTTTTGTGTTGTATCACTGCACCCTTTGCCAAGAAGTTTTTGATTCCAAGGTATCTATCCAAGTGCATCTGGCAGTCAAGCATAGCAATGAAAAGAAGATGTATCGTTGCACAGCCTGTAACTGGGATTTTAGGAAGGAGGTGGACCTCCAGATCCATGTGAAGCATAGTCACTTGGGGAATCCCTCAAAGTCTCACAAATGCATCTTCTGCGGTGAGACCTTTAGCACAGAGGTAGAACTGCAGTGCCACATCACCACTCACAGCAAAAAATACAACTGCAAATTTTGTAGCAAAGCTTTTCACGCCATCATCTTGCTTGAAAAGCACTTGCGGGAAAAACATTGTGTTTTTGATGCTAGCGCTGAAAATGGTACAGCTAATGGCATGACCCCAACAAATAAGAAGGCAGAAGGGGCAGATATCCAGAACATGTTAATGAAGAATCCAGATACTTCCAACAGTCACGAAGCCAGTGAGGACGATGTAGATGCTTCTGAGCCCATGTATGGCTGTGACATCTGTGGGGCAGCCTACACTATGGAGGTCCTCTTGCAGAACCATCGTTTGAGAGATCATAACATCAGGCCTGGGGAGGACGATTGTTCTAGGAAGAAAGCAGAATTCATCAAAGGTAGCCACAAGTGTAATATCTGCTCAAGGACCTTTTTCTCAGAAAATGGCCTGAGAGAGCACATGCAGACCCATCGAGGCCCGGCTAAGCACTACATGTGCCCCATCTGTGGGGAACGCTTCCCATCTCTCCTGACCCTGACGGAGCACAAAGTCACTCACAGCAAGAGTCTGGATACAGGGACATGTCGGATCTGCAAAATGCCGCTGCAGAGCGAGGAGGAGTTTATCGAGCACTGCCAGATGCATCCAGATCTCAGAAACTCCCTCACCGGGTTTCGCTGTGTTGTCTGCATGCAGACGGTCACCTCTACCCTTGAGCTGAAAATTCATGGGACGTTCCATATGCAGAAATTGGCAGGAAACTCTGCAACCTCGTCGCCCAATGGCCAGGCCTTGCAAAAACTCTACAAGTGTGCGTTGTGCTTGAAGGAGTTCCGGAATAAGCAGGACTTGGTAAAGTTGGATGTGAATGGCCTTCCCTATGGCCTGTGTGCTGGATGCATGACCAGGAGCACCAATGGACAGTCTTCAGGCTTGGCTCCACAGGAGGTGAATGAGAGACCGTGTGGCAGTCTGAGGTGTCCAGAGTGTAGTGTCAAATTTGAAAGTGCTGAAGACCTAGAGAGCCACATTCAGGTAGACCACCGAGACCTGACGCCCGAGACTAGTGGCCAAAGGAAAGGTACCCAGACGTCCCCCGTTCCCAGAGTAAGTACAGATGAACTTTAAAATGTGACCTTCAATGTGACTGAGAACTGATCTGATGTTTTTTTTTTTCAACTGACACTTTCTAAAATTACTTGTGCTACTATAAAAACAACAAAACAGAAGGAAAGGTAGAGTAATGCACATAGAAAAGTTAGATGTTGCTCAGCCTTGCACATTCCTTGATTCCCAGTGGCAGCGAATCAGATTTTTTATCATAAAACTGCCCTAGATTAACCCACAGAGAGCTGAGACACTTGAATGGCGGGGATTGAGTTTGTCCATGAATTCTGATGCTACTGAACTGGCAGATCTGGAAAATCTGTGGCATTTCCATGAAAAAGGGAGATGCTGAGTACCCAAAACAAAACAAATCAAATCTGATCTGTCATACTTGAGGGATGAGATTATTTCTTACCAGGGAACTAAACACGAGCAGGAGGATAAAGGAACTTTTGAGGAAAAATGTAGTGAATTCCACCCTACTCCTCAAATTCTCACCTAAAACAAATTTCTGTGCTAAAGAGCTTGTCCTTACGGATGTCTTTCAGAGTGAACGTTGTGAGGCTACGTGGATGTCTGTGTGCATATGTGTGTGCTTGTGCGTGCATGTGTGTATGATTTTTAAAAGTGATTTTAAAAGGATCTGCATCATGACCCTCCTGTAAGATAAGTAGTATTAGCAAATCTGGAAATTGCTGTCTAATGCAGGTTACATATAAGTGTGCTCTCCTTTAATCTTTGCAGATAGTCTGCTTTCCTGTTTCTTAGTTTACAAGATACTTGGGAACGTGCAGATCCAAGTAAGGTTTCAGAAGCTTACTCAGGAGATTAATATCATTTGCAGTTTATAGTCTTTTAAAATTATTTGTTGATGTTTTGGTTCAAGAATGGGCCAAGTCAGTCCTTCCTCTGTCAGGAACAGATGGAATGAGAAGTAGATTTTGGAAAACTTCTCAGGAGACCAACAGCAGACACATCTGAGTATTGATATCATCTGACATTTTTAATTAAACATGATGGGGTGAGATTTTCAAAAGTATCTAAGGAAATTAGGCACCCAACTCCTAATGAATAATTCCAGCCGTGGATGCCTGTTTATGTCAATCTGCTAATTAAAGCACCCACAAACACATCTTACTGCATTAAAGAACCTGAAAATACTATTCAACTAGAACGCCAGAGGCTCAGGAAGTATGAGAAGACCCTAAGTCAGTCCTGAGGACACAGCCCGAGATGCCTCAAATAGTGGTGGTGCAGGCTGTGTCCCCAGTGGGACTTGGTAGCTCCAGGCTGTGCGTGGCCAGCTCAGAGCATGGCACTGCCTGTCCCTGCACCCCCTGGCTTCAATGCCCCATTCCAGGTTTCTGAGGGAATCCCACAGAAAGTTTAATTTCTGGTGGTTTTGGGTTTTTTGGTTTGGGTTTCTGAGGGAATCCCACAGAAAGTTTAATTTTTGGTGGTTTGGGGTTTTTTTGTTTGGTTGGTTTGTTTTTTTTTTTTGTTTTTAGTAAAACAACTGGATATTGTTCCCTCTGGGTGTGGTGAGCGTGACTAAGCCTCTGGGCACACACACCTACTTCTGTCAAAGAATGAGGAATGGAAATATCCCTCCTTCGGTGTGATACCTTGTGAGAGTTTGGCTGGGGCTCTGGCTAGGTCATTCTCCTTCCTTCTCTTCAGGCCTTTCTTTCCTTCTAAATTCTTCAAAATACCTCTCTTCTCTTAGGTAGGACTAATTCTTAGTTCATACGGCTGTGCCTTTAGCCTGAAGTATTACCTTTTCTTTCCTATCAACTTTCAGAAGCAGAATACATTGCCGTTTTCTGCTCTTATTTCTTGCTTTAACTCTTTCTTTTCAGTGACAGCTTCCATACTTGTTCCCTCAGGGGGGAGTTTTAAGTTCTTCAATAAGGTAAATGCTTTGAATTTCATCCCATGAGGAAAGGTCTTAGTTCCTCTGTAGAAGATAATGAAAAATCAGCATTTGTGATGATGGCAAATGGTACCTTCAACAGGTGCCTATGGCCTGCACATATGTTAATATCAGAGACATTTATGGTATGCATCCCAGGAATAGATATATTGTTATTAGGAATAATTCATTATCTTGCCCTTCGTTATAGGTACAAGACCTGAATTCTGATATCAGGTCACGTGGAAACTGTTGGTGTTTCACTAAGGTTTCTCAAGGCAATGAGTGTCCTTTGTGTCTGCCTAGCACAGGGGGTTTCAAAGAACTACGCTGTCTTTTAAATTGTGAAAAATCCCTGTATTTCAAGAAGAGAATTTACTTAACTTCATTGGCTTCATAGCAAAGCTAAGAGAGTTGAACACAATCTCTCTTGTCATCTTGTTAGTGTGCTTCATGCAGGTAAAATACCATTTTACTGGAGCAATCTTAAGTGCACAATGCATGTAGAGTAATCTGCAGATGTCCACACAAGAGCTGCCTCTCTCCAATTCTTGAGAACTTCTACATTTCTCTTTTAAACACCTTATTGATTTTTCTTTTTTAAACAGAAAAGCGGTTGAAGATTAGGACAAGGTACAGTCAGAAAGAAAATATAGGGATGGGCATATACTTCAGAGTAAATAAGAATAAGTGGAATGAAATACAAGAAAATGGAAAAGGTGAGGATGATGTACAAAATACCTGACTTTTCCGAATGCTGGAAATCACTTTGCCAGCAGTTATACTTCTTGAATTGAAGAAGAGAGTATGGAAGCCTAGAGGAACTTCAGAAAAAAAAAAACCAACTTAGGTGAAGATTTAGCCCCAAAGTTGAAGGAAGGAGGAAATTAAATATTAGCTCTTGATTTAATAAAAAGTCAGAGTATTTGGGAGGAAAAAAAAATAGAACAGGAGAAAAAAATCATTCCTTTTTGTATCTATTTATGTTTACGTATGTATGCACATGGATATAGCACCACAAAGGGAGTGTGAATATTTTGTTATATTTAGTTTGGATTTTTTATTATTGAATTTTTGGAGATTTTGTTCTGCAAATCAGTTGGAGACAGCTAGATGAGGATCAAAAAGCACTCAGAATTGCACAGCAGTTTTGGCGTTTTTTTTAAATATCCGTAAGAATGAAAGAGGAAGCACATAACCCTTGAAAATGCTGCTGTGTCCTTGTTTTCCTCACTTACATTTTAGTATGGCAAACAACCAGGAAGAAATATCTATAAATTCATCACGTGTTTCTAGGACATCTAGCTAAGAGCCAGTCATGATGGTCAACAAAGGTAGATTTCCAGGCGGACAAAGTTTTTGCCTCCTGTACATGGAAACATCTGCATCAGAGGATTTGTATTAGGAGATTTTAAGGGAAGTCAATGGTCTCCTGTATGGAACATCGCTAAGAGTAATAAATAAAATAGGCCTTTTTAGTAAAAGGTTGCTCTAACATCAATTTGTGTTTGATTCTTATAGTTAGTTCTACATGAGGTATTCTTTTTGGATTGGACTGAAAGGTTTTTTTTTAGATAAGCATCACAAGTGGAGGTACCATTCCAGTACCTGGCACATGTATAGCTCAAGACTTTTTTTTAATTCTGTTATGATCACATCAGAGGTAATGCTTTAATTTTTCGGAACATATTTCTGTGTCTAGGAGTTTCAGTTTTGAATACATTTTACTAATTCCTTTTAACACACCTTCCAGAGGAACGTGCGTGTCTTGAGAAACATGACTAGTTGTTTAGTATTGAGATTTCTTATTGCTTCTTCTAATACTGGAAACAGTCACGTTTCAGGCTGCTCTTTCTCTTACAATGAGTTTATCCTTATTTTGTACCATAGTTCTCATGAACAATGCTTGTTTAACATTGACAATGGCAAATGCTTAGACTGCAATAAAATTTCCATCTTGAATGGTGTTACTATATTTAGCCCACCTAGGTTATTTGGACTGAAGAAGCAAAGGAGGTGGCATAGAAAGTTGGAAGAATGAACCCTATTGTGCTCCTTTATTCAGTTCCTTTTCTCCTGCACGCTTTCTTGGACTCAATTCCTTCTCTTTGTTCTCCCCCGCACCCCTTCTCTTCCCTTGTAAATCCACTTGAATGGAGGAATATTTTCTTTGTAGAACAGGAAACCATTTCCAGATTTAAAGGAGGACAGTCTGGAAAACCCATGGGAACAATAGTTACTTCAGAAAAGAAGCCAGAACCCTCTGCTGTTAATACTACTGTGTTGTGCCAAGATTAGAATTAAATATCTTGACTTAATGGGGATTGAGGTCTCAGCTGAAGGGCCTGCTCAGTTTGGTCTCTTCTGTCACCTAGGTGCCATCACCTAGACTCTGTTTACTCCTCAGAGACTGGGCACCTTTGTCACCACATGCCAAGACAAAACTTTAACGAGAGATAAGTGAGCCATTAATAATGTTTATAAAGCCATGATCCCCACAAAAACAGTAGTAGAAAATCACATTTGGTGCCACAAATAACACAAACTTGCATTAGAACTAATGCTTCCCATTTACTGAGAATGGAAGCCTGGTTTTGTGTCATTCTTTTAAAGAGAATTATTAATGACCCAAAAGTTCAGCTCTTCCATCTCTTGCATGTACATTTGAGTGCTAATCTAGCTATAGTTTGTGGCCTGTCTGAGGCTGTTTATTAACCTCACTCCTTATCAAGCCTATCACAAGAGCCACGGCCACAGTTAAGCTGCTCTTTTGCATGCACGTGTCTCAGCTGAGGCTAAAGATAATACTCAGAGGAAGTCTGAGATCTGCTGTCTTCTCTGAGGGGTGGGCACGCCAACCAGAGTGTTTTATAAGTTTGTGAGATGGTGTGGAGGAGTTTGCACTGGGTCTGTGGGTAAACAAAGACATCCTGTCTCCAGATCTGTTAGTAAGTAGCTTTCAGAAGCACCGAAATCAATTAAAAAAAATGAATCATTTGTCTGTGTTTAATATAACTTTAAAGGTTTGAAATAGAGTTGAGCTGAAATATTGTCCTTCTTAGCCAGTTACTTAGGGAACCCTCATAACAGAGATAAGTGCTGAACAAGGCACAGAACTTACTCAGCTTTGAAGTTTTAAAGAAGAGGAAGGTTTTAAGTTTTAAATGTGACCACATGAATCATTCGCCGCCCAATCCCATTTTTTTTCCCAAGGTTTTTTTTGGTGTTTTGATTTTGTTTTTAAAGTTAGGAGCCCTCCGCATGTGTATGCCAGTGTGTTTGAGAGGAGATGTGTACGTATGTGTGCTGTGCTCGTCTGCCGGAATAGATTCCCAAGGAAGAGCTGCTGCAGAAATCCAGCTGCTTTTCCATTAGCAGCCTTGATTTCCGAATGGACTCCAGGAGGATACTTTCTTGAGCTGCCTAGGGATAACTAGCCAATCCAAACCATTTCCTTTTATATGGTTGGCTGTGTCAGGTTTTGGCCAATGGAGTACAGTCCTCTTCCAATTATCATGTTAATCACCCATTGTTATTTTAGCCTGGAAAGCCCTGCCTATGTGCAAACACATACTGCGTACAGAATTCATGGAATACACATAACATCCATAGACTGGTGCATTTGTTATTATGGCATTACAGCCTGTTCATTAACCTCCAGCAGGCTAACTTGTTGCCACTGATGACATGGGAAGTAGTTAAGAAGCTCTTGGCAGCACCTAATTTGTTCTTTCCTCAGCAGGTGCTTGAGGAAATTGGATCCCATGCGCAGAGGGGGTGACAGCAACTCCTCTGTTTAACTCAAAACTTCTAACTTATTACTGCTGTCCTAAAAATGGGAATTCTATCCATAGGTGTGGGGTGGAGGCTGTATGAAAAAATGATGTGTGTCTAGAAGTGGACAAAAAATACCTGCAAAATATTTTGCTTCAAAAAAGTTAAGAGGGTGTTTTTTACTGAATTGGGCTTCTCAGTGCTAATGGCTTGGGACTCTCATCCATCCCTTGGCTAACCAAGTTTGTGGCCAGGGCTGCCTACGTTCTGCTGCCATCCACTCGAGCCGTACGGATACGGACCCCATGCTCCTGCTCCTGCTCCTGCCTGGTGGCAAGAGTTGCAGTTATTCTCTAGAAGGAAATAGGCACAAAAGACCCGATTTTTCTAAATTGCACGTCAAAAGATGTCTATTTAGATAGCATATTCCCAGGCAGTAATTGAGCGTGCACATTAGACCAAAGCACTGCACTCCTGCTTAGGGAAATGAGAGTTTTTGCGACTGTACAAAAGCTTAGCAATAGTCTTTTATTTTTTTTCTCCCCTAACTTGGGGATGTCGAACTTGTCAACATGCATTTTAATTTCTACAAATGATTTCTTGGATTTTTTTCCTGTCATGTTGCACAAGTACAGGCACCACTGTCAATCTGAGTGCAAACCCCATTTTCCCTATTTGAATAAATGGTTCATGTAATTGCCTCTTCACGCTATCTCCTGACTTCTGCGGCTAAGCCTCCCTGGTATGACTTTGAGACAGAGAAAATACACAACAGATTGTGTTAGGAAACCATTCTTTGTGGTAATGCAGTTTTTCCAGGATTTTGGGTGGGATATCATTACAAAATGCATTTTTTCCTTTTGTCCTTCACTTCCCCAGGTAACTACAGGTGTTTTGTCTACTGTATTTTGATTTTAACTAAAGGTGGAATGTTTTGAGAAAGTTGACCTTTTTCTGAAAACAGCATTACCTTTCAATGTCTTTTATTTCACTCTGCAGGAATTTTTACTGCAATGGGTTAAATGACACGAGCAATCTGATTATGGCTCAAGTACTCAATCAGATTTTCAAGTGCTATCATTCAAAATTTGTAAAGTTCAAATTAAAAATTCTTCTAAAGCAGGCTGTTAATGTATTTTTGGTCCCAGAAAAGGCCAGCCCAACTTGGTGTCATGTTGGGGATATATGAGCAGAAAAGGCCTAAGTGGAGGAAAGTTGAAGCACGTAACATGCTATATTCATGATCACACTTGCCTTATGCTACAGTGCAGTTTTCTCTAATCTCTTTTTGGTTATTAAACAGAAAAAGACCTATCAATGCATCAAGTGCCAGATGACCTTTGAGAATGAGAGAGAGATACAAATCCATGTCGCTAACCATATGATTGGTAAGACATTCTTTAAACTAGGCCACTCATCGGCTGCTTGTTTTTTGCTGCTCTTTGAAATTCACTATTCTAATAACTTGTTAATATTCATGCTGTAATTTATTTTTTTTATCTTTCAAGGAAAATGATTTTGATGTAATGATTCTTCACTTCAAAGCTTTTTAAATATGTGGTTATAAAAGTGTTACTGCTGAGCTTTTTTCCTTATCCTTTTGAGTCCTCATGTAGCATTTTCATTTATATTAAAATCAAACTTTTGACAGTATCTTCCATTTGATAGCATAAATTTCTCTCTATCCATGTAAAAAGTACTTGCCAGTTGTCAACCACTTAGGAGCAATTATGTTTCAATTTTGTATGTCATGACATTGAATAGATTTAACTGCTAGCATTTTCCCAGCTAAGTGTGGTGAATTCCTGAGGAACATTGTCAAAACAAAACACTTACAGAGTTACTTCAGTGGTTTTTTTCTTCTTTTTCCAACAATTCTGGACTTCAGAAAGTTCAACTTTTCAGACATAGAAGTGTTTTAAAAATCAGTGCTTGCTACCTTCTACTACAGTCCTGTCACAAGAGTTTGTAGTAAAGTGTTATTGTAATCTGATGGGTTGTATTTCTGCTGCAGCTGTATGATTGCTTTGCTGATGAACACAAAGAAATGTTTTTCCTGTCTGTACAGATGTTATGAGTATATGTGTTGGCCCAAAAGGTCAGTTTATTTTGATGCACGGACCACAAAGGAGTTAGTTACACGTGCCACTGTAGGCATATGTTGGATGAGATCCTTCAAGGACCCTACAGGGCACCCTGCGTGTCTCATATGCTCACACGCAGCATTTATCTCCTGTAAGCATAATGGTTTTCCTTCAACAATTTTACATTTAGGAAACTATTCTCCCATCAGTGCATGTATGTAACTCCTATTATCTTTGAAGTGAATTATGCATAAATACCAGAGAGAGAGAAATGTGGACTGACACAGTCTTTGCACCCCCACCCCCAAATGAAAAATATACATGTCAGTCACAATAATTTTCATCAGAGAGCCAGGCAGGAGTTTGAAGTCAATGTCAAGCAGGTTAAGATGAAGATATCTAAAAATGTTTGCTTTTGTAGCAGGTGTTAATGTAATCTCTTGTTTGCAAGCTGGAAGAGTGAGATCCTTGTTAATTGGACCATAGTGATTTCATGTAGCTCCCCCCTAGATTTTTTTTTTTAAGAAGCCTGTAAGAAAGGAGTCCTTAGGCAAGCTTAGCACTTGTTTCAACTTAATTTGTGATCCAGAAGCTAATAAATGATTTTTAAATACAAAGGTCATGAAGTGCTGAGTTAAGGTTCTGCTTGATTCAAGAGGGGAATTCTTTTTCCTTTTGGAAAGATATAATTTCTTAATTTGTCAGTAACTTATGTGTGAAGTTTATTTATGTTTATCCCCAAAGTAGTGCCGTCTGGAATAATACATGACGATATATATGACATTACAAGGTTCACTCTTAGTGCTATTGGAAAACAACAGTGGCAGAAGGCAGAAGGGGCTGAGAAAAGTGTGGTGCTGCTGTTTGTGAAAGCTGTACCTATTGTTTCCTTAAGGCTGTACATAAGTTATTATACATATTTGGAAGAACTCTATAAATACAAAGGTGCATATGGACTCAGTTCTCTACACCTAGGACATTGTAAATACCAGGACATGGTAAGAAAGTGCGTGATTATTCCATTGTGGTGTCATGTCTTTGTGTTGCTTTGCTGAAATATGGACCGAGAATGTTCGTTAAGTTCAAGCCTTCACTTTTTTTTATGGTGCAGTTTAGGAAAGAGTGAAGTATAGAAACCTTTAATACAGAGCCAAGCTTCCTCACGCTGTAGGCATCTTAGTTCACAAGGTGCTTGGGCCTCCCCTCCTTCAGGACGTGTGACTGCTTCTGAAAAGGTGTAGTCAGTGAATCTGCTGGTGGTGTTTGGTCTTTACTGAGGAATACTGAAGGGGAAAAGTGAGACTAGATGTCACCTTTTCTCCAGCAATAAATGCTGTGCCGATTTTTGGTGTTAATTCACATGGTGCTGAGTCAGTAACAGTAAGGAGAGTGATGGATTCCCTCTTGGGCTTGGTCCTGTGCCCTTTGTTCAAAGCCCAAGAGCCTTGATCCCTTACTCAGGCCATAGGAGAGATGGACACATGCCTCCTACCTGCTCAGGCAGGTTTATCACTTATAAAATAAGGGGTGCAAGAAGTTTCCCGAGTCTGGCCAGATGGGCAGCGAGAGGAAGAAGCTAATATAACTGTTTCTGCAGCCTTGTGTCATAGGGATTATTCATGTCGTCATTGTCAATTTAAGATCTACAGCTGCGGATTTGTTTGTGCTGGGGGTGCACTGAGACCCCAGGGTGAACATACGGGTGTTTGGAGGGGTGGGGGGAAGCTTGCCCTTAAACTGTGTCTCCTCAGGAGCTTAGGGTTGGACTCATCTCAATGAACTTGTATCCGTCTACAATTAAGGTGTCTGGTTTAATATAGTCATTGAGATGCTGTCTGGGGAAAATGAATGATTGATACCAATCTAAGATAAGAGTTTGAGTAGGATAAGCATTTCCAGGGAGAGATTTTTATCTCTCCTTTGAATTTGAAGTGAGCCAAGACAATGAAGTTAGCCTTGACATGTAATTTTTAGGTAAAAAAACCCCTTGGCTTTGATATTCCAAGACCTCTCAGCAGCACTTTCTTCTCATACTTTGAGAAACACAAAATCAATAGTTGAGATATCCTAAGCACTTGCTTCGTTTTATTCTGCTCAAGTGACTGTCAACAAAGGAATCCCTGCTCTGTAGCAGCGACACCTCTTAAGTATCAGCGTCCGTAATATGATTAAAGAATCCAGTTATTTCTTACATCGTGGTCTTAAAAAGTGCATCCAGGGAAGTTGGCTGTGCCTCCCTCTTCAACCTCTCGGCTTCTCAGTTTGGAGTCGTAGGCCCTGCTCATAATTCATGGAGGTAGGGGGTTTATTTTTTAAAAAGCAGTATGCAGGGAATTTCCAGTGCTACTCCCACACACCGCTTTGAAAAATTACCCTTCTGCACTCTAGCCCTTCATATCCTGTGCACAAACACAGAGGCACACTGGGTCCTGTGCGGGGTCCCTGGGGAAGGAGCGGGCTGGGTACATCCCCAGAGGAGGCAAATGGTAGATGTTTTGTTTTATTTTGTTTTGTTTTACAGTGGGGCCTGTAGGAGGGCCGTGAGGGGCAGCACAGACCTTCCTCAGCCGTGGTTAGCCAGGGAGGGATCTGGGTAGATGTTTTGTTTTATTTTGTTTTGTTTTACAGTGGGGCCTGTAGGAGGGCCGTGAGGGGCAGCACAGACCTTCCTCAGCTGTGGTTAGCCAGGGAGGGATCTGTTTAGAAATGTTTTCAGCCAAGGTTGGGGTGGGGGGGGGTTCAAGGTGGAATTTTTAGAGAGTAGAGGTCTTTGAAACGTTGCGCTGATTGGGGATCCTTTGAAACATTTCCATGCCCACAGAAAGGGGATCCCCCTTTGAAACATTTACAGGCATTGGGGAGTCCACCTGGGAGTATATCAAAAACTTTCAGTAGTTCCTGCTGCCTCTGTACTTGCTTACCTCCTGTTGCGCTGACCTGGCAATGTTTAAAGCTTCTCCCCCCTCTCCCCCCACCCACCACTGCCTCTGATGTGCCGTCTCTATTAGGTACAGGGGAAGATGGGCACAGGCAGCCCTGGGCTCTACGGGGGGCACTGAGCAGCCATGGCAGCAGACGGGAGGATGGAAATCTGTCAGGGCAGCTCCTCCCCAGCGGCTGGGGGAGCCAAGGAACCCGTCCTCGCCCTTCTTGCTCCCTTTCTCTGAGAAATGTGCACGAGAAACTCGACTGGGGGGCAGTTGGTGCTTGAACAGGTAAAATAATGATTCCTGGTCGTGCTGTAACGCTGGGATTGCTGTAGTACCTTCCTGCCTCCAGAGGAGTGTAAGTGTTTGTGAGCTCACAAGGGGCTGCCCGGCTCCTCAGAGCTCACAGAACCCTTCCCCAGTGCCACTCCTGTCCCTACACGTGCAATTGCCAGTGCTCCCAGTCAGCATTCAGGTTTGAATGCTGGTGAGCAGCGAGGGAGGGAGCGGGCCGCAGACTGGACGTGTTGAGGTACGTGCCACGTGGAGCATGAGGCCCTGCTTGTGCTTTGAGAGACACTGGGGGGGAAAAAGGGAATGTTGGAGGGAAAACTTCCAAAAGTCACATTGCAATTGTTCAGCGATCTGGTTCTTGGACTGCTGTCTGGATAAACACCTCCCTGTTTGATGGGATGGGGACAACCAAGTTAAATACCGTGTTTGGAGGAACGGGGAGAGTTTTCTGAGTCCTGCCCTGAGCCGTGGTGTATCATACATTGTTTGTAGTGTAGGACTCCAAGTATCTGAATTACCTTTGCTGCCCTCGGAGATCATGTTTCAAGTTCTGGAAACACTCTGCCGGAATTAAACACAAAGAGGGGGGGTAACATCCATCCACACTTACGTCTCTTTCAGATGCAATCAAGTATTATAAACAAAAAATGACCAAATATAGGTTTGTTATTTCGTTAACATTTAAGAATAACATAATATTTAAAAAATAACAAAATAAGTTTCTTGCTTATAAGAGTTCAAACTGCAAATAATAACTACAGAAATAATTTCCTAAAAAGCAGCAATTTAGAAAGCCTATTTTATGCTTGAAAGAATTAGCAGTTGATACCAAACTCAGGCACTAAGATGAAACCAGCACAGTAAACCAGCACAGTAGTGAAAGGGTTGAGATAGGATTCAAAATCAAGCTTAAACCAATATATTCCCAGTTATGTTTTTCTCTTCTGTTTAAAAATTGAAGCAGAGTTTTATCTTTTGATTTAGGAACTCACAGTTTTCGTAAATTCAGATCTTAACAAAATTGCTAATTTATATATTATATAAATAAAAAATTGGACTAATTTTTGGACTCCTGCCTGTCAC